AGCTAAGCCTCCCTTGCTGCGGTTTGGCAACACTGAATGGTACATCTGAGTCCTGAGCCCTCTGTGTTCTCTGTGCATATGCCCTTTCCTGTGCCCTGTGCCTCCTTTACTCTTTTGACTTAACTTCAGCAGGCATCTTGGATAAAGATGAGGGTTTGGGCTCTGAATCCACATACTTTAGTGTCTTTGGACAAAGGAACTTCACGTCCCCGAGTGAAATTTTGAGTGACATTCTTTGCCTAGTATGACATTTAGGTGGGGTATTTTCAATTTCCCTGGTTCTACTCACTAGATAGTTGTCATAAGAGACATCATGCAACTCTTATTAAATACATTTAATTGAGGGGGGCTGGCTTACAGTTAGTTCAGAGGTTTAGTCCATCATCATCATCATGGGAGGGAGCATGGCGGCATGCAGGGAGACATGGTCCTGGAGCTGAGACTGCTACATTTAGACTCAGGCAACAGGAAGTTGACTGACACTGGACGGTATCCTGAGCATAGGAAACTTCAAGGTCTGCCCCCACACACTTCCTTCAACAACCCACTCCAACAAAGCCACACCACCTAATAGTACCACTTTGGGAACCATTTTTTTCAGACCACCACAATAGTAGTACATATGTCCATCCCTGTTGTAACAAACTTGGTGAGTTACCCCCAGTTAGATGGCAGCAGAAATAGTAAACTGTTACATGTTTCTATGTATGAAGCCTGTCTTTTCTACTGGGACAGGTGGGTCCAGTGAGAGAATTAAAAGTGCTTTGAGAAAGAATGCAGTTGTATCAGCTTTCCATTGACATTTTTGTGTTTAGCCATGAAGACTCCCTTCAGAAAACGGCTCCCATCCCTTCCTCAAGACCCTTCACCCTCTTGGGTCTCATTGACTTGGGCTCATCAACCCCTGTGGGTCCAAAGATAACTTTTTATGATTGAAAAAAAAAAGCCCTTTAATGACTTTTGGAACACTTATTCTAAGGATTTATAGGTTTTACCAATGCTGAGTAATCAACCTGGACTTGTCCCTTAGTGAGTACTCATGGATTGTTGTCAGAATAGTCTAGGAAGAAACTGAGGTGTGCTGGGTTCCAAGGCCTGAATGGTACTTTCATCATGGCATCTATCAGTTCTGTCTGGAGACATGTTACACTCATAATATGTTAAGTGCTCAGTAGCTGTTCACCTTGGTGGCTTACTGTGAACCAGTTTTGAGACATAACTGGGGAGTAAAAGGAGGTGCAGTTAAAACAGTGTAATTACCTTCACCAGCGTTTTCAAGGCCTTCAGAGTTCACTGTCAGATGTGAAATACAGTGCTGCTTTGTGGGAGACTGTGGAGGATGGTGGATAGGAATCCACTTGTATCTTTTGACATTTACTCTTAACCTGTTTTTATCACATTTTCCCTTAAGCAAAGTTTTAACAACAAAGTAGTTCCTACAGTGGAATGCACACAAGGACCAAAGTAACGTTAGAGCAAGTTTCTTCCAACTGAGAAGTCAGTGTAGTGCATGCCTGATTCTCTCCCTCCCTCCCCCTTCACTCCCAGGCTTTTGTATCATTTAAGGTGATGACACATGTGTCCCTCCACTATGTCAGGAAATAGACACACTGCAGAGGGACGGGGACACGAGGAGTCTTTAATGCTACAGGAATGAACATGCCAGCTCAGCACCATGTGTAGGTCTTCCCTCATGCAGTAAAGCTGACACACTGTCACCACAGTGGCCGCGTTGCTGCATCAGTTCAGAAGCACCTTCTGTAGAGAAAGAAAGGCCCATGTTCCTCGTACTCAAAGCGGTGAACCCACAGTGGTTGGAACCCCTGGAGCGAGGCCAGGATAGAGCCACCAGTCCACACTGCAGTGTCTCTCTCAGGCAGAACGTTTACCTGTGGGGTGTCATTGGGACACATGCTGCTTAGTTCCTTCTGCAGACGGTTAGGGAAACCCCTGAGCATAGTGCTGCCCCCACAGAGCAGGATGTTCCCCATGAGGTCTCGTTTGAGTGCGATGTCACACTTGTTAAGGCAGGACACTGTCTGGGTGTGGAGGCCCAGCTGCATGGACTTGATGAGGGATGGCTTGAAGAACATCTCTGAGCAGAGGAACCTCTCCTGGCCCATACAGATCTCTTTTCCATCAGGCAGAGTGTAATGGATCTCATGTTCATTGGGAGGGATTTTCTTCTCTTCAATGGGGTCCAGGGCCACGAAGCAGCATTTTGTCTTGATGTCCTCCACAATACTGATCTGGTCCTCAGTGAAGTGTTTTCCAGAGGTGTTCATCAAGTTCATCAGGTAGGCCGTCAGGTCAGATCCTGCGTAGTCTAACCTCCCCGTGATGCTGGGCAAAGGGTAACCCTCATAGATGGGGACTACATAGGACACACCATGGCCAACCTCCACCACCAGGCCGGAGGTGCGTCCGTACGAGTACATGGACAGGCGGGACTGGTAAGCGATGTGCATTGCAGGCGTGTTGAAGGTCTCAAACAGCATCTCAGCATACTTCTCTCTGTTGGTGTGGGGGCTCAGCGGTGGATCTGAGACCAGGACTGCATGCTCCTCTGGGGCAATCTTCATCTCCTGTCGGAAGAGGTAGTCCCAGATGTCCTGTACTGTGTCCCAGTCCACAATGATACCATGACGCAGGGGATTAACCAGTTTAAGATGTATTTCCGGGTTAAGGAGCTCATGCCCCACGAAGGTCTCTTTGCGATTATCCCCAGTCTTGGCTGTCTCCATGTAGGGCTTGCCCACTGTTGTTGAGATCTTATGAGTGGGCTTTGGCAGGCCAGCAAAGCCACATTTACAGAAGCCAGTGCCAAGGTCTACAACCACTGCTTTGGTCACCTCTAACTTGGACCTCTCCTTGGACACAGTTGACTTAGCAGGGTCTTCTGTCTCCGTACTGTCCCGGCGGACCCATACTGCCCTCTTTGCTGGGCCATCCTTTAAGGAGGCAGTCTGGAGGATCTGTGTCTGCATGGAGGCTTGCTCTCCAGCCTTCTTGGCAGGCCCATCCCCTATGTCTACTGCCTGTGGAGCCCACACACTGTCCAGAGACATACTACTTCCAGAAAGCTCCTGATCCTGCTGGCTACAAGGCCTGAAAGGCCTAAATCAAAGGACAACTTGAGAATCTGCTTAACAGTGACATCACTGATTGTGACATAATCCAGTGATTAGAGACTGTCTAGATACTGAAGACCTTGTTTGGGGTACATTAGAGACACTATCTTTGACACCCCCCCATTTTGTAGTAACTCTTGATTTACTCATTCAGTTAATATTTGTGAGTGCTTCTGACATGTGAAGCAGCTGGGAATACCACAGTGAAGAAGGAGCAACCAGCTAAGGAGCTGGTCTACATTCTAGTTGGTGTGTGCTAGGGGCCCAGGGGGAGATATCAGAGGAGAGAGAGATGGGGTGGTCATGCTGACATGGCCCAGGCAAGGCTCCCTGAGCTTGACAGCAGTTTTGTAAAGAGCTGAAGGAGGTGACCAAGTGACCAAGTGTTAGGGATACAATAGGTGCAGAGGACTAAGTCACAGGGCTGGGGAGTTAGTGCAGGGGTCAGCTGGAAGCAGCCAGGTCCAGCCAGTGGCCTGTGGTAGTCTGTCTATAAGTTTACTGGAGCAGCCAATACTCATTGACTAATGGATTGCCCGTGACCATCAGAAACAGTTGGATCGGCAGCACAAAATTTGACCCAAAAGCTGAATGGAAATAAAATGTGACTGTCCCCTCATGGAAGGTCACTGACCTCAACTCAAAGGATCTACAAGACCAGTGTGACCAGGGGAACAGCCTGGAAATGTAAATGGGGTGGGTAGGAAAAGTAAGGCTGGTAGTAGAGGACAAACAAGTCCCATCTGGTCATGGGCCGTTGCAAGGACTTCTGCTCTAGGTGAGCAGGGCTAAAAAGCATCAGAGAAATTTGAACAAAATGACACCATCTTTATTTATTTATTTATTTATTTATTTAACCAGGATTTACCACTGCTGTGACTGGCATGCCCTTCTGCCTCATTTCCAGGATTAAGGGGATGAGTAGATAGGAACAATTAGTTTTGAACATAGGCTTGCACTCCTTCATTAGGGTGATAGTGTGCATTGTAATATGGCCTTACTAAGTCCTACCAGTGTGCACATTAAGGTTCAGGTAGACAGCTTTCCCAAGGATATCCAGTAGAAGACAGCCTTCCTCCCCAACATGTGCAGTGTACACACTGACACCTAACATGCATGTCAGGCTGCTTTGTCTGTTCAGCTGGAGTACTGATCCGTACCCATCACACTTAGTGCAGAGGTCTTTAGAACCTCTACTTGACATTGGGTGAACGTTGATTGAAATATTATCATTCTTGCTCTTGAATTCTGAACCTCTCTCTACACTAAGTATAGAACCCAGCATCTAATTTATGTATGTATGCCTCATCTTAGACCTTACCCTCAGCTCTGTGCTAGATGTGATTCACTCTGGTGATGTGGTCCTTCCTTCATGGAGGTGGTGGCAGATCCTCTTGGCCTTAGATGTGAGAAGAAATGAGTGAAGTGCCGCTAGCTTTATTAGCAAATGCACTGTCCTTGTAGAATGAAAGAGAGGGCCAGGGACAGGCTCTTGAGTTTTGTGACTAAAATGGAGGCAGCCTTCAGGGTCTACAGAAGACCTGATTAATTGGTGTTGGGTGAACGTCTATCACTCTAAAACCGTTTGCTCTTGAATTCTGAACCTCTCTGCAGCTCTGCAAGATTCTGCAAATTAACATAGAAAGTATTGGGTACTGTGTCTGGCTTTCTATATGGGCTCAAATTATTAGTGCCAAGGAGCAGAGGAGGAAAGGAATTAGTGTATCATCCCTGAATGGCCAGGCATGGACATGTGAGAGGGAGCAGAGAGCACCGAGACCCATTGGGGTGGGGTTCTAGAGCTGCTGGTCCTTGTCCTGTCCTGGAGCAAACCAGTTAGGAAGGTATGTAGAGGGGGGAAAGAGCAAGCTCCCCCTGCCTACATGGACCGTTCCTGGTGACATCACAACCCTAAGTGGTTGCCAAGGCACTACTGGAGGTGGGCTCTCATTTCTCCCCAGGAGCTCTAGGGTGTGGATGTAAGAAGGTGAGAAAGGGAGGTAGATGGCGACAAAGAACAGCCCTAGCCCTAAGCCCATGGGCACAGCCCAGGGAGATCCTGGAGAGGCAGGAACACTGCCAGCCCCTGAGGCTGGCATCCGGGACACAGGTTCCACTCAACTGAAAACGAAGCCAAAGAAAATACGCAAGATCAAGGCTCTGGTCATTGACCTGGGCTCCCAGTACTGCAAGTGCGGCTATGCAGGAGAGCAGAGGCCCACCTACTTCATATCCTCCACTGTGGGCAAGCGCAACGCCGAGTTGGCAGCTGATGCTGGAGACACCTTCAAGGAGACATACGTGGGCCATGAGCTGCTCAACATGGAGGCATCTCTGAAGCTGGTTAACCCACTGAAGCACGGGGTTGTCGTGGACTGGGATTGCATCCAGAACATCTGGGAGTACATCTTCCACACGGCCATGAAGATCCTCCCGGAAGAGCACGCGGTGCTGGTGTCCGACCCTCCACTCAGCCCCAGCAGCAACCGGGAAAAGTACGCGGAGCTCATGTTCGAGACCTTCAACATCCCAGCCATGCACGTGACCTCCCAGGCGCTACTGTCCATCTACTCTTATGGCAAGACCTCTGGCCTGGTGGTGGAGAGCGGGCACGGCGTGTCGCATGTGGTGCCCATCTCTGAGGGAGACCTGCTGCCCGGCTTGCCGTGCCGTGCGGACTATGCCGGCTGCGACCTCACCAATTACCTCATGCAGCTGCTCAATGAATCAGGTCACAAGTTCACGGATGACCACCTGCACATCATAGAACACATCAAGAAGAAGTGTTGCTACGCCGCGCTGCTGCCAGAGGAGGAGATGAGCCTGGGCCTTGAGGAGCTGCGCGTAGACTACGAGCTCCCAGATGGCAAGGTCATCACTATCGGCCAGGAGCGCTTCCGCTGCTCCGAGATGCTCTTCAAGCCCTCCCTGGTGGGCTACACCCAGCCAGGCCTCCCGGAGCTCACAGCTGACTGCCTGAGCCGCTGCCAGGGCACTGGCTTCAAGGAGGAGATGGCTGCTAACGTGCTGTTGTGTGGTGGCTGCACCATGTTGGATGGCTTCCCCGAGCGTTTCCAGAGAGAGCTGAGTCTCCTCTGCCCTGGGGACAACCCCACGGTGGCCGCTGCTTCAGAAAGGAAGACCTCGGTGTGGACCGGCGGCTCCATCCTGGCCTCATTGCAAGCCTTCCAGCAGCTTTGGGTCAGCAAGGAAGAGTTTGAGGAGCGGGGCTGTGCAGCCATTTACAGCAAGTGCTAAGGGGCGGGCCCCACAGGCAAGAGCTAGAGAGCAGAGGCCCCCGGGGGCCACTCTATACCTTTACAGAATTTCTCATAAAAGTTTAACCTATAACGGTCGTGTATGGTCTGAAGTTCTTGATCGAATCAGATAGTGGGTGGCGACAAGTTGAGTTTAGAGGTAACTGCCCTCCCCTTAACCTGAGTGTGTGTGACTCAGGGCAGTCTTCAGAAGTGAGACACCTCCTGGGAGGCGAGATAAATGCTGGGCTGATGCAACATTTCTTTCCAGAAAGGAAGGAACAGGCACACATTAGCAACTTCACACAAGTGCAAATACACATGAATATGCAAACACAAAATAAAAAATTATAAAATTGTATAAGTTATAGGACGGAAAAATATTAACATCGGAACTTTAAAGACTCACTGGATGGGCTCAGAACCTTGGTAGAAGACAACATCAGTGAACTTGAGGATAGATCAATGTAATTTCACTAATAGAAATGGAATATGGAGAAAATTGCTTTTCTAAATGGGGGGCAGGGTGGGGAGAAGGTTCATCAGGTCAAAGGTATGTGATGTCAAGCCTGATGACCCAAGTTCAATCCTCAGAAACTATACTGTGGAAGGAGAGAAACAACTCCTGCAAGTTGTCCTTGGACCTCACCTACCCCACCCACTTTGCCATTGCACATACACAAAACACACACCACAATAAATATGGGAATACACGTGAAAAAGAAAGTAACAAGCAGAGTCCTATAGGACAGTGCCAAGAATCTAACATTCCTATCAGAATTTCAATGAAAGAAAGAAAGGGTGTGACCAATTGTGTGGTCAAAGAAATAATGGCTGGAATCTCCCCAAGCCTGACAAAAGATACAAAAATTCAAGAATGAATCATGGCCTGGTGGAGCATTCCTGTGCTCCCAGTATTAGGGAGGCTGAACTAGGAGGAGCAAGGATTGTTCCAAATTCAAGGCCAGCCTAGTCAATAGTGAGCACCAGACCAACCTGGGCTACAGAGTGATACCCTGTAAAACAAACACACAAAACAATAACAACAAAAAACAGGCAAACCAAACTATTAACAGCAATTTGGCCAAAACACATCACAACCAAACTAGACGAAGGTGTTTTGAAAGCAGCTAAAGAGATTAATACTTTGCTCATAGAGTAACATGGACTTGAACACAGACCTCTCCGGGAAAACATGTAAACCAGAAAAACATGACACATAATTTCCTTTCCTTTCTTTTTTGTCTTTTTGAGTCAGGGCTTCTCTGTGTAGCCCTGGCTGTCCTGGAACTCACTTTGTAGACCAGGCTGGACTCAAACTCAGACATTTGCCTGCCTCTGCTCCTGAGTGCTGCAATTCAAAGATGCTTGCTAATATGTCCAGCCAAACAACTTTCAAGAATGAAATAAGAAAAAAACCTAAAAATCCTATCAATTGTAAACCGTATGTCTAAAAAGGTCAACTGTATTAAAGGATGGCTAAAGGGAATTCTCTAAATCAGAAATGATAGTAAAGAAATGAAACCAGGGAGGAAGAAGTTATCAGGTTGGTCAGGAATGGGGAAACAGGCAACTATTTGCTACAAACCTGAAGTTTTATAAATCATATTTGATGATTGAAGAAAACATAATTTTATCTGAATTAGTACCTAAAATTATATCTGAAATGTGGGAAGAAGGGGGTCACCTAAATGAACATTGGGTCCATAGACTTGGGGGCTACCTGTTCACTGTGGTCTGTTATATATGCTTGTGTAGTGTGATAGAAAATTACACAAATTAATAGAAAGAAAAACATTAAAGTGAGACCAAATAGTTCATGAAGCCCATCAGCAAGGTAAGATAGAGAGGAATAGAAAGTGGAGGAAACATGTTATCTATCCTATAATGGTATTTCATCCCATGATGGACTCAAATGCTCAGTAGTGATCCTATGATATATCACCCAGTGGCATCACAGCCTTCATGTTGTCTATGCAGATAAGGATAATGTCCTTGGTGATGGCAACGGCCTGGAAAGAATCTGGGTGTCTCAATGACTGTGGAAGAAAAAATACCAATCTGAGCCTTGAGACTACTACTGACAGGTTTCCATCTGCTTTTTTTTTCTTTTTAATATTTATTTTTATGTTTATGGGTGTTTTGTCAGCATATATATGTGTACCCCATGAGTGTAGTGCCTGCAGAGTGCAGAAGAGGGTGGCATACTCACTGGTGCAGGAGTTATAGACAGTTGTGAGCCACAATGTGAGCACTGGACCTCTGAAAGAGCAGCAAGGGCTCTTAATGGCTGATCCATCTCTCTAGCCCCCTTTCATCTGCTTTAAACCACTTGATTTTGGGGATCTTTGGGATATTGCTGTGGAACAATCTTTGTACGCTGTAATATGGTTAATAAAGAGCTGACTGGCCTATAGCTGGGCAGGAAGCGATTGGGTGGGAGAGCAAAACTAGGAGGATGCTGGGAAGAAGGGGTCCAGAGTCTGAGGAGTCACCATAGAGATGCAGAGGAAACAGGATGTATACAAAATGAGCTGCAGGACCCAGAGTCTCAGCTACTTCCAAAGAAACTCAAGTGCTGGCACAGCCAAGCTGTTACCAAGGGCCTCTGGTGTGGCAGGTTCTGTCTTAGGAATTCTAATTATGATGGCGTTCACTGGAGGTGGAAGGGGATTATGTTTTTAAATATTTTCTTCTCCTTGGATGAATATTAAATAGCAACCATGAGAAAGATATCTTTATAGTAGAGGTGGTCTGTAAATTTCCTATTGTAAAATACTTACAGCTAACATCAGTATGTACTTTTCCTCAGACTTTTCTGTTCATATTTAATATTTAAGTCATATGTATAATGATATCTTAAGATTTGCACATATTTTAATGGGTATAAAACACAATATCTTATCTCAAGCACTTTCTACATTATTTTACATGTTCTCTAAACATCATTTTCAATGCCTACAACGTTAAGTTTGCTTTTCTTTGATATTTAAGTGATTCCTTTGTATGTTTGTTTTGAGGCAGAATATGTAGCCCTGGGTGACCTGAGCCCTGGGTGACCTGGTCTATTAGCTCAGGCTAGCCTTGAATTCTCAGAGGTTCACCTGTCTCTGCCTCTGAGTGCTGGGATTAAAGGTGTACATTATCATCCCTAACCTAAATTCTTGATCGCATAAGATGTGGCTTGACATCTTTGTGGATGATCTTACTAACAGACAGTCTCAGTTCCAGATCATGAGGCTTGTAGTGAACCTCAAGCGTAGGGCTCTACTTCTGGGTCACTTCTTTCTCTGTAGATGTGATGACTCCACCCTTACACTTCAAGCGTCTTTACTTCTAAGGTGTGTTTTTCCTTGTTTTTTCATACTTCCTCCCTTACTCCTCCCCTCTCTCCTCCCTTCTTCCTTCCTTTTTTGTTCTTTTTTATTCAGACAGGGACTCGCTGTAGGTCCTGACTGGCCTGGAAATTGCATATGTGCCTTTACCTGTTGATACAGCTCTCTAGACTTTGGTTTTTTATTTGCATTGTAAACCTAAGGATGACCTTGAAGCTACCTCCTAAGTGTTGGTATTACAAGCCTGTGCCTGTCTGCCCCCTTTATGCAGTGTTGGGACTTGAACTCAGAACTTTGTGCATGCTAGGCAATCACTCTGCCAACGGAGCCACACCCTGAGCCCTGGAATAGATTTCTTTTCTCTTCCTTTCTTCCTTCCTTCCTTCCTTCCTTCCTTTCTTTCTTTCTTTTTAATGATTCTGTTTTATCTTCACTCTGGTCTATTAAGCCTCTTCTTCATTTCTATTTTTTATGCAGATGCCTTAGGATGTAAAGTATCCAACCCTTCCTTATCACTTTACTTACTAGTTTTTTAGTCGGTCTCATGTATCCCAAGCTGGCCTTGAACTCCTGATGTTTTTATTTTCATCTAACTACTGGATTACAGACATGTGCCATCATGCCCAGTTTTGATTGCAGTCATCTTCAAATAATATATTCTACTTCAAAAACATGTGGAAACTTAACAGCAGGAGCTCTGCAGGATCTGGGTCTTTTTCAAGTTAATAAAGGTGTAATTCATAGCAGATTGTTCTTTGCACAGAACTGTTAAAACATTTCACATAAAGTCCCCTCAGCCACCCCTTCCTTAGAGGTAAACAGTGGGACTAGTTTGGCAAACACCATTCGGAACCTCTGTTGCGTGTTTACATGCGTTTGTGTGAGTAGATACTTAAAATATCTATAGTTTATTTTCTTACATAGGAAATAGTGTGGTGTGTATCATTTTCCAATGTGTGTCTTTAATTCCACGGTGTGTCTTGTTGGTCTACCCCTATTAATACATCCAAATTGGCTTCATCGTTTTGAACATCCCATTGAGTGGACTTCCCAGTGTTTTTGTTAAACTGAGGGGCATTTGTGTTTTTATCTCCATCATAGTCTACGGTGCTGTAAGTAAGGGGTCTCTCTATATGCATTTTTGTATCTGCCCAGAGTTTATACTTGGAAGTGGAATTAACTTCTATAGCCAACCATCCAGGGGAAGAGCAGAGACGAATGAAGCCTCCCAGATCCTAAGTTAAAGTGGATTTAATAAGTGGTAGCAAAAGGCACGGGTGAGGTTGAAGGAATGTTAGAGACTTTAAAGCCTCCGGAAGTTTCCGGAGAATCTTATAAGCTAATGGCCTCACATTTGGAACCAAGGACTTCTGGTTATTATTTTTATGCCTTGGGAACAAAAAGGCGTATTTACTTCACCAGGGACAAAGGGTCACATGGTGGTAAAGGGCATCTCGTTACCTCATTGCAGAGGTAACGGCAACCTAGTGGAACTGTGTCCGAGTCTACAGGCCTGCTGGTGACACACAATCACCATTCACAAAGAGGCAAGACCTTCAGAGGGTAAGGCTCACTCACAGACTCACCTTGAGCCCTAAACACTGCTGTATTTTGCCCTTGCTTTAGGAGGTGGAACAGCAGGCGACTGCTTAGTTCAGCTAAGGAATCTGTAGTGGGAGCTAGGAAGGATGCGGGGAGTGGGGTGGGGTGGGGGTGGGTGGGTTAGTGGGAGCTAAGAAAGGGGGAGGGGAGGGGAGGA